AAAAAAGGCATGGTTCCATTTATATGAAATGTATAGAACAGGTAAATCTGTAGAGACAGAAATCAATTAGTGGTCGTTGGGGCTGGGGAAGGAGGAACTGAGATTGACTGCACATAGCTGCAGAGTTTCTTCTGGGGGTGATGAAAATGTTCTAGCTTTTTCATGGTGATGATTGAGCAACCTGGTGAATACACCTAAAACCACTAAATTGTACACACAGCGAATTTTGTGGTATGTGAATTATATCTCAGATTTTTAAAAAGCACACAAATAGTGATGAATGCACCTACGGAGCTTACTAGAGGCATGGACAAAAGCCAGGGCAGCTGTCAGCAAGTGCTGAGGTGGGGCTGCCTCCCTGTGGCTGAGTGGTGAGTGTCATCCCCAGGGCAGCCAGTGACACCCCACAAATGGCCTGTCCATCAGAGCCTGCTCCACTGCATGACTGGATGTCACTGGAAGGCTGAAGACAACTTAGCCAGGTCTCTTAGTATGCCTCAGACAAATGACATAGTCCATCCTTCTTACCCTATAGGAATTTGATTTTGAATCATTATATTTTCTTAGTTTAAACTTCAAGTGTCACTGTGGACACAGATTTGGTTTTACATACATACCTATGTTCTATCATCTCATCTTAGTGAGATAGATACGGTCATCTCATGTTAAATATCTCATTAAGATATTCATCTTATTAGGTCATCTCACATAGTCATCATCGGAATTTACAAGATTCGAATAAACAGAACAAGGAGGAAAGTTAAGGTGCCTCCCCTGCCCCTCCCCCCAAACTAGAAACGACCTAGGAAGGGTCATCTATGAATCAGCACTTAATAGACGGAGCAGAGAGAAGAAATATTGATTGAGAGGCAGGACAGCCACTGTGCATGGAAAGCCTGATCACTCTTCACAATTGCACTGTGCCTGCACCCTCTTGCACCAGCTCATGAGTGTTGGTTGTTAAATTTGCAGGAATTTACGTCAGGTTGGCAGCCTGGTGTGTGTCAAGGTGGGGGTATTTACAGCATGGAATTGGACATGCTACAAATCAGGCCCTCCATCCCCCGTTGCACTCCACTGGCTGGTCAGAGGCAGGAGTCAATACTAGAAACAGAAGAAAAAGGAGCTGAGGGGCAGGGGTGATGCTCAGCCTGGCCAGTCTGGGGATCAGAGCTCAGTTCTGCATCACTTGTCCTCTGCTTCACACTTTGCTTAAAACCTTGATTCCATCACGTCCCCATGTGCCGTCCTGACAGCTCTGGTTGTCATCCTACATGCCCCTTGGCAGGCTCCTCTACCAAGGTGTCCACTGGGCACACTCCTGGAGTGACTGAGAGCACTGTGGTGGTGGAGAGGAGTGCCACTGACAGGCTGGGTCTCTGGGCAGGAGGGATAACCTGTGTGGGCCTTAATATCCTCCCTGTAAAACAGTGGTGATGCTAAAGGTCTTTTCAGCTGGGACAAAAATTAAGGTGTTTTGAAGGTCCAAAGTCACTGGGCTGCTGGCCAGGGATAAGCTCCTCTTCCCACAGCGTGCCCCTCCCTAAACAAATACACCCAGGCCTGAGGCCTCATTCACCCTTCTGTCTCAGCTCAGCCCTCACCCAGCTTCAGACCCATCCAAATGCCTCTTAGTGTTTTCCTTAGACTCGCCACAGGTTTCAAGTGCCTCATGCCCTCAACTAGCTCTGCATCCACTCCCACACCTACACCACGAACTGGGCATGACTCTTGGTCAATCCTGTCAATGCCACCTCCCAGATCCCTGAGCCCATCCCTCTTCTGTCCCATGGCTGCTGTTGACTTAAGAATGTCCAAATCTGTAGAAAAATTTTATGAGTTTATTAGTTTATTTGAGCCAAACACAGAAAACACCTGGAAGGAAGATCTCAACAGACTGAGAAAAATGCTTCCCAGAATGAAAGTTGACAGTTTCTTTTATGCACTTCAAATTAAGGAACATAAGAAGATTACATGGTGAGAGAAAGCAAGATGGAGACTGGATTATCAGATCCACTCTCCTGAAGGTGGTTATACCTCCAAGGGGTCTGAAAAAGGCATTTCAAAGGTATATTAACCTAGATGCACAAGAACAATGAACAGGGCTTGCTTAAAGTGAAGATAAACCTTTTACTAAAGAAGTTATAGGCCAGAGTGTGACTACCCACCATGACCTGCCCAGTTAGGAATCTATGATCAGATCACCCTGTGAGGTTTTCGTCCACACTGCCACGGAGCAGCCTCCCTCGCTGCTTGCCTCCTGACCCATCTCCCCATCTCTTCCTCAGCAGCCCTTTCTCTATATAGCACCCAGAGGTGAATTTCCAAAGTGTGTGGCTGTGCACATCACTTTAGATCACTTTAGTGGTTCCCCATTGCCCTCCCTCTGGTCTTGCCTACTCCACCTGTGCAGAGCTGGGATTTGATGCCGTTGGCAGGGAGAGCCCCCGAGGTGTGTGAGGTGTACAATGAGCGGGAGAGGGCTGTCTCCAAAGGTCAGCCTGGGTCCAGGCGGCCAGGGGAGATGTGGGGAGAACCAGGATTCAGGCATGAGAGCTGCTCTGCTGTCTTGTATAAGTGCAGTGGACAGGGCATGGTGGCTTAGAGCAGAGTGAAAATGAAACCCCACAGCTTTTAGGACAGGGACAACCTTGCCCAACCCACAGAATGGGTTGGTTATCCATTCCTCAGCCGGCCTGGCCCAATGCTTGTGTGTGGGGGGAAGCAAGCCGGTCCTGGCACAGACACTGCAAAGGAGGGCATAAACCTACACTCACAGACCGCTCGGAAAAACCGGTAAGTGGTAAAATACATCATGAGAAAAAAAAAAGAAATCCACCAAAATGTTCCTAATAACGTCTCTAGGGAATAGAACTGTGTGTTTTCTTTCTTTCTTTTTATGTTTCTGTTATCTTTCATGTTTCTGGGTTTTCTTAACTCTCTAAGATGAGACGTATTACTTTGAGAAGGAAAAAACTGACTTGGTGTTTGTTTTCCAAGGCTCACCCTGTGTCATTTGATGACCAGTATTTCTCAGGCTCAGAAAGCCTACTGGACCCCGGCCATAGCCAGGGCAGGCTGGCCCCTGCTCCCACCACCCACCTGCCTTCCCAACTTCTCTTGCTGGACTGTAAGCAGGCTGACCCGATGGCCTCCATGTCCGTGGAAGGCCGAAGGGACTCATGGGTGAGAGGACCCCTGCCAAGGGAACGCAGGTACTTATGGGTCTCTGATCTGCCTCCCTGCAGGGTGTCAGGGCAGAAGCTGGTAGCATGTGGCCCTGCCTTATTTGCTGTGCTTGAATAACCATCTCTCACACATCCCACCCCTACCTCAGTACTGGTCTGTGCCACCCTTTATTCTGTTCCCAATTCACTCTCACTCTTTTATCCTCCAAAGCTCTTGGGGGTGGGGGGAGCAGGCAGCTGGCAGGGGGCGTTCTGTGGGGAATGGGAGGGCAGGAGCCTCACATGTACACTAGGAGGGCAAACATTGGCAGCTGGTTTTGTAAGCAGACCTGGGATGGGAGGATGAGGTGTGATAGCCTGCTGAAATGTGACAGGGTTAAAGGATAATTAAAACCTGAAACTGGACAAAGGAAGTCTATACCTTAGGCCTAGTTTCTGGAACCCCTAACTACATTCTGTTAATCATAAAACTTGTAACAATGAGCTCAGACGCTAACTGCCAGTTTTAGCCTGTGTAACCCTGCTTGCTTGCGTGGCATGAAAAATAATCAATTGTATATAAGCTGAAAATTACTGTTTGGCCCATGAGAATACTGGCTATTGCCCATGGGAACATAGGCAATCACCCATAGGAACATAACATTCTAACAACAAGCTTTCTGCTTCTGTACTCCCCGCTTGCACACCTGACCAGTGGGTTGACAGGTAGTGAATAGGAGAGAAATAGACCTTTGTGTTTAAGATAGAATGAAGAATGGGATTTAGGGCTTAAAAACCTTGTATCTCGGCATTTCGGGGCTGCTCCTTTGGAAGGACAGCCGCCGGCTAATAAACTGCCTCTATAATCAAAGCACTCAGGTTGAGTCTGGTTATTCCGGTCACAACAGAGGTAGTAGGCAACAAAATGCATCCAAAACACAAGACTGGCTAGGTGACAGGACACATGCTATTTTGGGTTCCTGGGGCTGCCCTAAGACTCTGAGCCACAGCCTTCATAGTGATCAGAGGCAGTGTGCCTCTGCAGACTAGGTGACCACCCTGCATAGTACACAGGTTTGGGGCTCCATCCTGCCCTTTGTGGGTGCTCCCCATTCCTGGTCATTGCCTCTCTAAGCCCCGTCCCCCCGCCCGCCCCACAAAGCCACAGAGCCTCAGTTCATAAGCCCAAGGCAAGGGGTCATAAAGAAGATTCTCCTGCCAGGGCTTGAGTCATGCTCTTGAACCCAGCCCTGTTTCAGAATGGTCAGCAGAGACCAACACTGGCCAGACACTGGTAAACATGTGACAGCCTCATGACTCACTCAGCCTCTGTAGCCTCAGTTACTTCATCTGCGAAATGGCAACAAAGAGCCTGAGAGCGGAAGTTCCTGCCCCCTCCCCACTCTGTGCAGCCCCTGCTAGGGCACAGCTCTGGCTGGGCCCCCACACAGATCCTTTACCAATTTTAACATTTTTGCCACTCTGGGCTGACAGAGGAGACACGGCTTCGGAGGCGAGGCTTCCCCCAGGACTACACAGCTGGGGATCAGGGAAGCTGATGAAGCCCACAGTCTGGGTTTTAGCGCTTTGCCCTTTAGTTGGTGTAAGACCTTGGGCAAGTGCCCTGGCCCCTCTGAGCCATCTCTCAAAGGGAGGCTGTGAGGTGGGCAGGAGCTTCACCGGCCGCTGCCCCACGTCGGCAGGTGGCGGGGATACCCCTGTCCTGCCAAGAGCTTACGCCCAGGGAGCCAGCGAGGCTGAGGGGCTCAGCGGGGCGGGGTCTGTCCCGCCCAGACAGACGCCCTCCTTGGAGGGCGTGGATGGGGCCGTTACCTTCCTGTCATGGTGGCCGCACGCTGAGCCCGGTCGCCTCCGACTCCCCGAGCCACCGCCGCCGCCGCCACCACCGAGCGCACGCCGCAGGATCTGGACAGTTTCTTTTATTTCACGACCTGCAAGGCTAGATGGAAGGATAGAGAAAAACACAGAGACAGTATACACAAAAGCTGGGACCAGATGGGACACTGCACTTTGCTTAGAGAGGGCTTGCGCCCAAACCCGGCTCTGGGAACGCGGAGCTCGGAGCGGGCGTGTGGGTCACGTCCTCCCTCGGGCTTCGCTCGCCACCTCCTGAATTCCCCGCATAGCTTTCCTTTTAAAGGGAATGAAGTTAAAATAAACGCCCCGCCCAGCGCTCCCCGCCACTGTCCCTGCTGGGAACGGGACACTTGCGGGGGAGAATGGGAATGACAGAGATACGATGCTGAGACCACCGCCCCTGGCCTCCAAGCCCGGACTTTCCACTGCGGCCAGGGCAGGACAGGAGATCACATTCCTCAGACGTTTCTGGGCACCGACTTTCTCCTGGGGCGCTGGGTGCCCCCAGTCCACGCAGTCCACCGCCCACCCCAGAGAGGCCAAGTAGTGGGGTGTCCCTTTGAGTCTTGAGCTTGACTCTGCATACTTAGTTACCAGGTCAGTAACCCTGCCAGGGAATGACATTTCACCCAAATCCTTGAGGAAGGCCTTCACCTAGCAAAAGGAACCTTATGATGACAAAACCATACGCGGGTGGTGGGGTGGAGAATCACGTACTCCTTGTAAACAATAATATAAACGGAGCCACTTTAAATCCCGTAGGAACTCCTTTGTACCTCTTACGTAGAAAACCTTTGGAATGTTAAAAATAGGACAAAACAACCTTTGGAATGGGACTAAAGCAACCTTGTGTCTCAAAAAGCTGTTTGAAAAGATAATAAACTTATGATTACTGGACTGCAAATTAAAAACATTGTTTAGTACTAATGTCACCATGTTAGCTTATCTGCACCAATAGAAATGCCTTCTTTCTCTCTAAGTAATTATTCTCCTTCCCTTTCTCATAAATACCCGTTGCCTTTGTCTCCTAATAGGAAAACTATTTGGGCTTCTACCTGAATTAACACTTCACAAATAGCTATTCTTTGATCTCAGGTAAACATTTGTTTGCCTCACACTTTGAAAGACCTTTATTTTTAGGTTAACACTTTTCTGTGGTAAAGCGCTAATTGACAAGCTAGAGAAAAGCCATTAAAGTGACCTGGTAATAGAAAACAATTTTGGGAATCTATTCTGAGAAAATTATTAAACAAAACAAAACCCTCACTCTACCTAAGGATGGTGGTATGGAGCTTGTGATTGGAAGCAGCTCAAATATCACACTGTGGGTGGGGCTAGAGCCAGGCAGCTTGATATGTTAACTGACTGAACACCATAGGACTTCTAGTCCTGGCAATAAACAAGGACTCTCCAGAAGTAACCCACAGGTAAAGTAAACTAACAGTGGAGTTCGGAAAGCTGAGTTGACAGTAACATGCAGAGCAAGAGTTACATCTGCAGAAATAAGCTTGGAAAAGGCACTGGTTCCTAAGAAGCTCTTTATCTTAAAACTTACAGGGTTTGCAGTTGTTGGTTCTTTTTGCAATTGTGTCTTAGCTGTTTCTGATGGTTGATGAAGCATAAGGGATGTATGATTTCTTGGTTCATCCACTTGTTTAGGGAGACATACTTTCCACAATCGTGGATGCAGAGGAACAGGCGTGCTGGAAGCTGTGCACCAGGAATCTACTGCCTTGCTGGATGGTTAATCGAATATTGGGGTCCTGTGGGAACCAAAGAGGATGAAAAGTAGAAAGCAGAACAGCAAAGGAACCTGCTCTCTCCCTTGAGGGGGCCCAGGCTTGCCTTCTAGCCTGAAAGCCTCCCTTTGTATGGTTGCTGAGCACATGAGGATCTGCCTGTGGCCAAACCAGATTCCTCTGCTGCTCACCCATCTGCCCAGCCTGCCTTACTCCCGAGCCACAGGCATACTCAGTTAGTGCTGGGTGGTGGCTGTGGGCATCTCTCAGCCTCTGGAGCCATGGGCCAGCCTCCTACTGTGCAGCAGAGGTCAGATTTGCAGAAAAGAGTTGACAGTTGCCCAACAGTGGTCATTCATACATGCACCCACTCATCACCCATTCATTCGAGAGTATTTATGCTACACCAGCACTGGAAGTACAGCAGTGAACAAGAAGATGTAGACCATGGCCTCATCAAGTTTAGCTGGGGTGGGGAAGGTCAAGTAAACAAATACATAAACATGATTTTAGACAGAGACAAGTACTGCAAAGAAAAGGACAATGTGGAGGCTGCTTTAGAGTGAGGAGCAAAGAAGGCTTTGAAAGAGTGACATCTGAGCAAAAACCTGAACTGGGAAAAAGAGCCAGCAGAAAGAACAGCATGTGCAGTGGCCTTGAGGTGGGAATGAGCTTGGTGAAATCAAAGGTGAGAACAAAGGTGGTGTGTCTGGAGAACAGGGAGGTGGGGACATGGAAAATAAAAGGGAAGGTCCAGAGGCCAGAGCACCAGGGCCAAGGTAGAGTTTGGATTTCACCCTTAGAAAGGTAAGAGTCTAAACAAGCACAGACAACACTTTGACACCAACGTGGACGAATCTCAAATACGTTACTCTGAGTGAAAGAAGCCTTACTCAAAAAAGCACCTGCCCCACTTACATTAAGCTCTAGAACAGGAAAACTATGGTGGAAAAAATTCAGAATGGTGGCTACCTTGGGGTGGCAATAGGGGGGCAAGGATTTGCTGGGAAGGGGCATGAGGGAACTTTTGGGGGCGAATATTCTGTATCTTAATAGGGGTTTGGGTCACACAGGTATATGCATTTGTCAAAACTCGTGGAATATATGGGTTTGACATATACATTTCATTGTACATAAATTTTGCCTCAAAAGAAAAATAACTGTAAACAAATATTGTACTCTAGTTAATGACATGCATGCCGAAGTCCTGTAGAAAGGTACTGATGTCTGTAACTTACTTTGAACTACAATTTAAAAATCAAGATGGATTGATGGATAAGTAAAGGAATGGATAGATGAGTATAGTACAACAATTGTACAATACAGTACAACAATGGGAGAATCTAGGCGGTGAGTATCTGAGCATCATGGTAAAATTCTTTCAACTTTGCTGAATGTCTGACTTGGGTATTGATGGTGGGTGTGGGCATGATTACAAAGAGTCCAGATGACTCCCAGTTTCTCTTGCTTTGCCGCACAGTGGGCCTGTGGTGGATCAGGCGAGGATGTGTTACAGCTGAGGAGCCTTTTGCAGAATCCAGGGGAAATGGCAGGTGGGGAGTGGACGTCAGCGTCAGGTCTATGGGAGTGAGAGGACCCGAACCCAGCTGGAAAGGTGAGGCAGGCTCCTGCAATTACCCACTCTCTGGAGCACCTCTCACTGTGCTTCATGCAAACAGTGCTCCCTGGAGTAGGGCACATAGCACCCTAGAGGGGAGAGTGGAGGTAACAGAGAATGGAGGCTGAGGATATTACAACTGCTTTGAGAAATCTTGCTTCCTGGGCCAAGAAATGAATAGTGGGCACTACATCCACCTCTGCACACCCACAGATAGAAAGACATTTGCTGTTTGCAAATAAATTTTTCTATTTTAAAATATGAGCATGCCCTGAGAATAGTGATCTGCTATTATACATACCATCTGAGCAGCACAAAGTGACCTTACTTCCTAGATCACCAAAGCAAAGTGAAAGGAGCTGGTGGAATCATGATCTACTAATTCTTTTCACACTTTAAGAACAAATGACAAGAGACTCAGAACTTTTTTATTCTACAAAGAACACAGAACCCTTCCTGAGAGTCTAGTCCATTTAAGGGCAGAGCTGGGCCAAGAGCTTCACAGCTTACAGTTCTTCTTCCTTTCCAAAGTTGTCCTAGCCTTGGACTTCAGAGAGGAAAATGCCGTTTCAGTCTCACCTCAGCTCTGGGACAGGCTTGCCTCAATGCACAGGTTTGGGGCAAGATGGCCTTGGAACAAGCGTGGCTGAGGACAGCTCCCTCAATTCTGTTGTACCTCAGAGCATCATGGCCTTGTCATCCGATAAGAAACCACTTGTGCACAGTGACCACAGAGCTCGTCACCTGCAGGGCCGTCAGCCTCTCTCTGCCTCTAAGCACATCTTTCCTCCATGTGTGAGGTACCGTTCCTCTTTCCCATTAGGGCAACCAACTCACCAACCTTCCCACCAGAGCATCTCCAAACTCTGTCCAAAATAAAGATCTGCTCCCCTCACCCCTCATCCCCTAGACCCAACCTGTCCAGATTTGGTCTCACCAGCAGAAGTCCTAGCAACCAGCCAAGGTGGCCTTCCGCTACTCTCGTGCCACCTGGCTAAGGATGTGTAAGGCTAAGCCAGGAGGGTAGACCATGCTGGGGCTGTCCCCAGACCCCAACATTAGCACCATCAGCATGATCCCTTCGAGGGCAGAATAGGACAGCAGAAAGAATCAGGGACTAGGCCCCATGCACATACTGAGAGCAAAATGCACCACTTCGGCGCCAGGCAGTGTCTCTACCTCCTGGGCTGAATCGCCACTCCGCCTTCTGCTGTTTCCTTCCCTCAGCGCTGCCAGCAACTTCTCTGGGGAAAACAGCAGCTCCCCAGCCCGCGTGGCACTTGGAAAAGTACTGAGCAGCAGCTGAAAGTGTCCAGCCACCAAGGAACACCCAGGCATTCCAGTGTCATCTCTCCTTGGGCAGGAGGCTCGGGAGGAACTGGAGGGTTGGGCTGGAGGCTCATTAGGGTCTGGAGAGGATGGAGGAAGACCAGGAAGGAAAAGCCGGCCTCCCTGGGGATGCGCCTGCTGGGCGGGCCACTGAAAGCATATCCCCCTGCAGGGCTAGGGACCCTGGACTGCAGAACAAAAGAAGTGACAGCTGCCCTCCCAATCCACAGAAGCCAGCAAAGGGGCAGCTGCCAGGGTGGCCTTCATCTGGCAGCCACTAAAACGAGCATTTACTAAACACCTGAGTTCATGAGCCCCTGGGAAGCCAATGTTTATAGCATGTACACGCGCCAAAAAAACGATC